TCTCAAAAGGAATCCTGAAGAGTTGTGGCAGCTGGACGAGCACAGTCCTTTTCCGGACGAAGTAGAAATAGTTGTGCCTGATGATCGTCCTTTCAAAGGATACATCAAGCCAAAGGGAGACCTCGATACCCCTTTTACAAAGGACAATATTATTGAGGTAAATCCCATGTTTTTAATTGCTTATTTTAAAAAATCCGTTCCAAAGGGAACTATGAATAGGTATGTATAACGCTGAAATTTTTTCCAAAAAATATTTTACATACAGTTTAGAGCAGTTTTTTTTAAGAATTTAAGGTGACGTATTACGTATAGATTTATTCAGAACTTAGCAGGAAATGAATACTGTCGCCATGGTAATCTAATATGTCCTAAAAACTATGAAAAATATCAAAGTTATCAAGGTACTTCGTCTATTTAGATACTTCGTCTATTTAGATACTTCGTCTACTCAGATAAGTTTATGACGTTTAAGCTCTCTCCTATTATGTTTTGCACTAGCTAAGATACGATAACACTCACATGCTTGTGGTCCCGTCCAAAGTAAAGCATAACAACTCATCTGGTGATACTAAACTACAGATCAGTAGACCGCGGAACCTCCGGAACCAGCGGAACATGCGAAAACATTAATTTTCAGTTTTAAAAAGTAAATAAACAAATCAAGGAAATTAATCTTCTTTATACCCGAAATGAAATTTTGGACATTGTTAAGGTGCTTTTAATTTCTATTTTATTTCATTAAATATATGATTTATATGATATGATTGATGGTTCCGCCTATCTTCAGTTTAGTAACACCCCGACTCATCTCCAACCCGATACTTTTCCAATTTTATTTCTTCCAGATGCTGAGCTGCCTTCCCTGGAAGAAATTCGCTGAATAACTAACTGGGCTAGCCCCAAACCGAAAGTAGCCGCACAAGAGAAGTAGAGTTAGATCACCGATTTTGTGTAGTTATCAAGACAGACATAAACAATTTTCTTCTTTCTGGAGAGAGAAATATCACTTAGATGTACAACAGTAAAAAGGATATGTGAATGTTGATCCACGTAAATTAAAAGAAGGGCTATAGCTAGTGTTACGAATGGTAGTATTGTCGACCACACTTCATTTTGACCTGAGGCTGAGGAAGCTTACGTTTATTCTAGATTTCACAATTGTAAGAAAAAGTGAATCAGTGCAAATATCGCCAGGTCAAGGAAACAATGCTTTTCTTCCCTTCCACTTCTGGGCAAAACCGAGCAAAGACACGATAACCTTTACATTATAGAGGATAGACATCTTTGTCTCTGCCTTCATGATCAGTTTTTTATTGGTGCAAATATTTCTTTCATGTATCTGTAAATGCTTTGGATATACTCAATAAACGCTTGTTTCGGGCTCATTTATTTTATTCACTTATGATGTATATAAAACAAAAGGTCAAGTCAAAATAAATCACAAAACGCTAACTGATTCGATGTACTTAGAAACGTAAGAGGATATTGAAAAGCGAAATTATATGACATGAATTTAAACATCAACATTTGCGGCTCTAGTCCTCAAAAAAACATCGGTGAGTATCATTTGGTAAACGAACTAAAAAATATACCGCAAAAAAAAAAACAGAAATTGCCATTTTTACAGAAAAATATCTTCCAAAAAATACTGCTCAGATCTCGACGCTACACGAATTTTAAGTGAAAAATGCTTAAAGAACTACTCTCTAACCACAGAGAAACGATACGTTTCCGTAAAAATTATCCCTCAACCACTTCTTTGACTTTTATACTAAAAAAAAATCACTTTCAAAATTAGAAATTTTAGCTATACATTTGTTATACATTTCCTCGATTGTGATTGGTTTAAAAGACTCCTATTGTCCACTTATTCACTAGCTAAGTTCTTATCGGACAGTTTAATAAGCCAATCACATTCAAAGTTGTAGTTTAAATCAACCAATCACAACCATTGACAATTTACGCCTCCTTTGTCGGTCTTTTCGCGAAAATTTTCCCTTTCTTTCATAACCGGGCTATTCTTATTTTCTCGGAAATTGTAATTTTTAGATTAATTGGTAATAAGACTTTGTTTCGTCCAATTCGATCTGTAATCATACGAGTATGGTTACAGACCAAATTGGACTCCACTCAGTGCTATTGCCATTATTTATAAAAAGAAGTCATTTGAATATGATAACAGAAACTTGCAAAAGAAAAAAAAACAAAATCCACGACATTTCGCAAAAAATGATGTAAAAGCCATTGCACATGTACTTAAGAGATGTATCAAACCATGTGCCTAATTGAACTTGATGAAATGGAGTCTGGTTAATGACGTTAATCACTTGGTTTGGGAAATAACTTGACCCCTAACCTTCACACGTACAATTTTCCGCCGTGCAATTTCTTTGGTTTCCGACGACCTTTTCGGACAAGCCTTACAATTGTTTACTGACGAATGTTCTCCAGTGGCTTTAGTCCCACTTTTGCTTAGTTCATCGTCTAAAATGTAAAAAGTAAACTGTAATCAGATAAAGGGAGGGCGCGCAGAGGTGGGCACGCACTTGGGGAAGCACAACTGGTTTGACATGAGGACGAGATACATAGGTAGATGGACAGACAGGCAGTCAAATTTACAAAATGGTGGAGAAACTGAAAGAATGTCGAACAGAATGGCAGACTGCGGAATGACAGGCTGACACACAACCGTTATGGAAAATTGAGAGACTGAGGCGGCGAGAGACTAGGAGACTGACTAACGGATCAAAGTGAAAGGATGAGAGAGTGACAGAATGACAGAGTCATAGAGTGACAGAGTGACAGAGTGACAAAGTGAAAGAATGGCAGAGTGACAGTGTGACGGAGTGATCGAATGACAGATATGCAGACTGAGAGACATACAAAGCGGGGCGACTGAAAAACTGTATGAAGGTATTGCTGAAGTTCTTATTCTACGAAATTCGTAGTTTTATTTTTGCAGAAGAAAAACATATCTTGCTTAATTTTTCGACAAGGGTATTAAGATTAACTGGAAAAAGGTAAATAGGGGAGCCTACCTTTGAAATCAAAGTATGTCTTTAAATCAAAAATGCTTTCCTCGAGATCTATAGATAGTTGAGATAGTTGAACAAACAATACACATATTACAACCAAAATAATGTAATGTAAAATAAAGGAATATTTCATTAAGTGAGTACAAAACACCATCTAACCAAGAATTCAACCGAGTTATCTCCGCCAACAGCAATATCATAAAATTCGTGTAGTTGGGTTGTTCTTAAAATGATAATACTATTGGAACCTCGACCACTTTGGATTTGGCTTTAGCTGGCTACCACTTATTTTTCTGTTTCGAAGGTAAAAGTCACGCATAATGTGCTTACCAGGTCCCTTAAAATGAAGTTGAACTAACAGAAATTTATTCTTTTGATTGAAACTTTAAGGCCAGTGTTTAAAAGTTACACACCATAAATGCGTTCTTCATTTTCATCCTCGTCAGGTGAAGACTCCCCATCTTCTTTAACCCTTTTAGATCTCTTGTGTGGCGATGATTCCATTTTTAACTCTTTAAGGACACTGATCCATTTCTTACAAGTCTCCAGTGCTGCTATTTTCACACGATTATCTTTGTGGGGACCAGAGACAAGTTCTGGAAGCTTTATCGAGGTATGATCTTCTTCCTTATGGCCAGAATTTTTATTGCTCTTTGGATACCAATACCAATGACCTGCGGCCTTTAATTCAGCTTGAAAGTTGTATTCATCAGGAGTGGTTGGGTAATGGTCTTTCATGTACACCATAATGGCTCTCACAAGTGTGCTGAAGTCCATGAGGGACATTCCACCGTCACATGTTTCGAGTTTTATTTCTTTCCAATCCAGTGATTCCAGTTGTTCCTTCAATTGTCGTCTACTTTTACTCTATAGTTACAAATGGCAAAGGAAAGAGTTTGGAACAGAATGACAGGGTATTTTCAATTTTATCAACTGAATTTATAACGTAAATTGGCCACTTTGAGTTTCAAAGCTAACATCTCGAGTGTTAGCCCCTCGTCAGATCGAACGGCGTTCCACTGGAACAGAATGAATTTGATAAAAACTACGTAAATTGTGCAGTTGAGAGGAATAGAAGAGATTTTATGAATTCACACATAATTATGCACATGCCCTCACTACATTGTGAGGGAGTATAGGGGGTAGTATAATGAGGAATCTTTCCTAATTTATGCTACAATGCTAGGCCTTTCAAGAAAAAGATAAAAGTCATGATCACGCTTAATGTATACTTACAAAAAATATAGGGGGTAGTAAACATTATTTTACTATAATTACTAAGACTGAGGCGAATAATCGTTTAGCATGATTTAAGAGCTAAACAAAAATTTGACTCTGAACTCCTCTGCAAATTGAGAAATTTAAGTTTAGCAGAGGAGAGTGCAGGTAACAATTTCACGCCGCCCTCTTAGATAGCCGTTTTTAAAGGCACTCAGTGGTGTCAAGCATACCCAAATGAGTTGTTAGAGTAACTTTAGCGGCAATTTGTCGTCACAATTTTCCATGTCCTTTTCTGCAACATAATATAACATTACATGGCAGGTATTCTTTTTATACTTAATATAAAGGAGGTACTGAGGCCTCCATACAACTCACTTCAGCAACGCATATTCCATGGAACTAAAAATGCTTTTTCACCTTTAGTTCATCAAAGTCACTCGGCCAAATATCGACTTTGAACAGACGAACAGTGGTTTTTCCTCTTTGATTAAGAGGAAAGTACAGATTAGGCTCGGTAATCATCCAGACATCATGTGGTTGTTGGACAGTCCCATTCTTTTCTGGAATAAAATCTAATGTTATTTCTCATAAGAGGGTCTCTTTGAGCGGGAGGAGAGATGGCTTTGACGCTTGACGGTTAATTTGTGCGACAAACTTAGGGTTGGGGTTTTACACCATACTTCTGTAACTCTAAATTTCATGAAGCGGAGAATTGCAATGAAGAGGGGGTTGCCTGGAAATTTTTAGAAGCTTAGCAAGGGTCTAAAAGGAGAATATCAGCAGTTGATATTATATTGTTTTCCATTATTAATGAAAATCTTTGTTTACGATGATTATTTTCTTTCAGGAAAGCATGGATGGCTTCAACATTTACCATGTACGTGCAACTAATCGCGGTGATAATGTGCATGTGTACTCACAAAGTCATTAAGTCTCATCGTTCCTTGCTCATGCTTCTTCGGGTCAAAGTTTTTGCGATTGAGTGCATATATCCTGTCAAAGTAGTTTGAGTCGTTTTTAAAACAATTATTGGTGTCTTAATATTCATTCGGTTCAAAATCATCTATCTGAATCCTGTGGTTTGCTTTTAGCTGTCATTCTGCCGGCCAGTATCTATGAAGCAAACTTGTCAAAGCATTGATGACGCTTTCCATGAGTCTTCACGTTTTTGGCACTTTCCATGCACAGATATATATTTACGTGCGTATCATCACTGCCCTGACTATTATCATACCTCGAACGCCGTGGTCATTAGAAAACGAAAACGAAGGCCCATCCTTTGTTCCTGCCCTGAAAACAGTGAGTTTCTCGTCCATTAGGATTGGGGAAGACCTTTCGAGCAAATAAAATTTAATATGTTAAGGGATACTTGATTTAGAAAACAATTGACTTCTAAGCATTAAGGGTACGGTAGATACAGTGGCCCGTAAGTGTCACTGTATCTTTCTCTTTAAAACTCAGGTTTTATTTTTCAAAACTCATGTTTTTTTTCCAAAACCCAAGTTTTTTCCCACAAACCCAGGTTTTTTTTCCACAACCCAACCTTAAGAGATACACCGCAAGCAATAATAATAGTGATTATGTACGAAATAACAAACCGTACTTTACAAGTGTTGAACCCAATAAAAATCAAGCATTCAACAACGTACGGAAGCCCGAGTAATAAGCGTACTGTAACCATTAGATGTACCCACCGATACGCTGCGGTCAGTTTTAATTGCGTGACATAACTTCCTGTGAACGTTGCAACAGCATCTGATGAAAATTATAAGTTGTACGGACCTCGGGAAAGAACAGTGGAACAGAGGGGTCTCGCGAACTTCGAAATTCCGGTCTCGTAGAGTTTTCAGATACACGCATAGTGTGCATGGTTTGCATAGTGTACGTATTTTACCTGAATTGTTATTACCTTTTGTTTTCTGTAAATGTCAATAAACGTGTTTGCGTTTATTTTTCAATGCAGAAAGAACAGAAAGGATGCAATGTTTATGACTGCCTTGATAACTCTACAAGTTTCGTCGGGGAGTGTTATATATCTTTGTCTTTGGGTCTCTGGAAACTGCATCCAAAAGCCAAAATAACATGTAGTATTTGGGTCTTTCCGCACTAGCGGACAAAACTAGAACTGTTCCGACAAAATCAAAGGACAAATTTTGTCATTTCAAATTTTTATTTCGTCTGTTACATCCGCATTTAAAAATTCAAAGCCGTCAAATTCCGTTAGTGCCTAATCTGATCGTAAGACCGATCAGTATAGTTTGCCAAAGGATTACAACTCCAATTTCAGGATTTATCCTAAGTCGTTTTGAAAATTTTAGAATCCCGAGTTGTGCGACGAAAGGCAATTTGTACCTTTCTGGTAAAATGATTTCAGTGCAATTACACGTTTGTAAAAAAAAAAGGGAAAGATGGTTTTAAGAAAAAAAATAGCGATAAAAAATTACAAATATCATAAATCTATCTCAAAATAAACGGTTGGGTTCTGAAGTCCCTTACGGGCCACCGTATTGTACCACAATGTCTTCTTAGAAAGAATTAAGAACGAGAGCGAGCCCTTTATCAGTAGTGAGGATCGAATTTCTTACTGTTAAGTTTTAAATGGTCTAAACGTTTTATCCGGCTTTTCAACGCTTTCTTCACCTGTTTTTGATAATTGCTTTCTATCGTTTATATCACTGAACTTCAACTGCGTTATTACTCGTTCTCCTATATTCCTCGGCGTACGGTTGACATGGCAACTTTGGAAAATTTAGAGCTATTTGGTGAGCATTGCAATTAAAACAATTGAAAAAGAATTTACTGTACTTACCGAACTGCAAATACAAAGTGCCTCTCTCCATTGTTTCTTTGAAAACGTTTAGTACATCTCGGTGATTTCACTGAAAAAAGATTTCTTCAATACTCTCTTCATTTCTCTGATATCCATGTGGCCGCAATTTCTCATGCATGTTTACGAGACTTCATGATTACTTTAGTCTTATTAGATGAATTTTTTTATTATTTAGAAGGTTCATTTGCCCTTGAAAACCTAAAGTATTGTTCAACTGAAGATTTTGTTCTGAATCGTATAGCTTTCAGAATTTTTCAAACAACACCGCAATGTAGCAAATTTAGTATTTCTTGTAATAAAGCTCTAATCTAGAAATTTTTTTTTTGTCCATTCAGGTCCAATTTGGGTATTTATATATTTCTGTTACACATTTAATCATAGCCTCACAAATCCAACTTATCTTACCTTGAAGACAGGCAGTAGCAGTTTGTTTGGGATCTCAACGGACAGTGGTCTTTCTTTCTTACATTTCTCATTAAATTTTCATGAACACGCATGTGAGCACGTGGGATGAGTCTCGCTAATTGCTAATTCAGCAATGAATTATCTCGCAAACTAAAATGGGAGACAAAAAGAAAGTGAAAATTCATTCGATTAGCATTGCGCAAGAGTTTAGTTTGCCTCTACTTTGCTTATCCTTGAAGAACTGTAAAATTTAGAACTGCAATATTTGTCTTGATCAATTATTTTTTCTGACGTTCAATAAGGGTTTAGACCTAACATGTCGTAATGGCCAATTGAACTCATTATCCGGATAATTTGCACCTGTTACAACAAGTTGTAAAGTATTTATAACACGTTGTGCATGCACGTCATTACCGAGATTGCGGATCGGTAATGACGGTAGGGATATATCTTCATCTACAAAGTCCCAATATGGCTAGAAAAGAAGGGACTCTTGTAAAACCTTGAGGAAGAAAAGCAATTTCTGTTTAATTACAGGAAAAAGATAAGGAGATTTAAATTTATCAGGAGGGGTCTTGAAGAGTCTTGAAGAACTGTAAAATTTAGAACTGCAATATTTGTCTTGGTCAATTATTTTTTTCTTACATTCAATAAGGGTTTAGACATAACATATCATAATGACCAATTGAACTCGTTATCCGGATAATTTGGACCTGTTACAACAGGTAGTAAAGTATTCATAAATTCCCATGTGCAATTTTGTAAGAGATAATTGTCGTTTACGTTTTCCACTTTCTTAATCCAATTTTCCTCATAAAAAGAGCGCTGCTTCGAAACATTTTGTTTACTAGTACTCACTCACCTCTTGTGGCGAACTCATTAAAGGTATTTCTTTTCAATCCAACCCTATTTTGAAAGAGAAGAACAACAGTATTAATGATATATCATGAATATTAAGCTTCTGGGGTAAATGTTTGCTAGTAACTAAAATAACACGCTGTGCATGCACGTCATTACCGAGATCCGTAAGGTTATATATTCAAATAGAAGATATATCCTTACGAACAGATTTGTTCACTTCATCTACAAAGTCCCAATTGGCATGGCTAGAAATGAAAGGACTCTTGTAGACCTTGAGGAAGAAAAGAAGTTCCTGTTTAATTACGGGAAAAAGATAGAGAGGGGAAAGAAATTCATCAGGAGGGGAAAGAGACGACAAGCCATTGTTAGAGAACGTGTCAAACAGAAAATCAGGCCGCTCGATCCATATCACTACGAAAGGCTCATGAGAGGGGAGATAGGAGAAGAGGACATTCGATGCGATTTTTGGTACTCTCCGGAGGGCGATATTTTGCCATATTTTGGTATTACTATTTCATATTTTGCCAATCTGATGGGAGTTTACATCTGTTGACATCTTAGAGATTACCGTAGGTTTTTTCTGTAATAAATAACCCATGTATCGGAAAAATTATAAAACAAGTTAACTGCTTGCCAAAAAAAAAAAAATGAGTTCCTCACATTTAGAAAAATTTCATACATTTAAGACTTGTTTCGATGTTAACGTTCTCTTAATTGTTTACCCAATGGCGATGTAAGTCATGTTCACAACCTCGTATGCGCGCACTTAATTTGTCTTGTAATATTTGTGTAGTTTGTTGGTTCTAAATAGCTGAAGTAGATGGATACACAGCTAAACCTTCTATAAAACCAATTTTTAAAGCAAGAAATTTCTATATTGAAATGTTTCTGGTTTCAACGTGTTGAATCGAAATGGCAGATTCAAAAGAGGACGATAAAACAACCGTGATTCCCTATAACTAACCAATCAGAGCGGTCACAAAACAACCATATATGCAATAGAACATACTTTCCCTAATTTCTCAGAATGAAAAGTGTTTATTTCAGCAACCGTTGTAGTCTAAGTTCCGCCATCGATAAGCCTCTATTTGGTTTCGTTATCTGTTCATTTCTATTGGTGACTTTATTGTATTCGATAGCTCAATTCAATAAGATTAAGCATTTTCATCATCATCATAATTTTCGTCAAGAGAACGAAATAATCCTTTAGTTTGCAAAATTAGTGAAGTAATTCGTTCTGATCTATTGCCGGCTATTTTTTCTCTCGATAGGTTTAAGTACTTTTACCGACTTTAGGAGGATGCCAGAAAATCTAAAAGGGAATCCTGAAGAGTTGTGGCAGCTGGACGAGCACAGTCTTTTTCCAGACGAAGTAGAAATAATTGTGCCTGACGATCGTCCTTTCAAAGGATACATTAAGCCAAAGGGAGACCTCGATACCCCTTTTACAAAGGACAATATTATTGAGGTAAATGCCATATTTTTGATAGCTTATTCTATCTAAAAAATTCGTTTCAAAGGGAACTATGTAAAGGTATGTATAAAACTGTACAGAATTTAAGGTGGCTCATTACGTACAGATATCGTTTCTTTTTCCCGTTACCTTAATTTCAGCTGGATGGTTTCAAATTAAA